AAGGGCCAGAATCAAGGGAGACAACCTACATTTGAATTTCTGGAATTCACTCTACTTTCTCTGTTGTCACCTTGCTCTTCCTTTGATCTGTCAGGTCACTCCTGCCACAGGTGACCCCGATAGCTCTGGGCAAGCCCTGAAACCTGGAGGCCCCTGAGATGTGTCTTCAGCTCCGCAAGTCAGCTAAGACAGCCTCATTGCTGAAGTTATAAGTCTCTTATTTAGGCCAGGGTGGGTGAAGTGTAGCCCTGTTATGGGAGGTGGGGAGGTGAATGACATCTTTTAGAAGCTGCCAGAAGTGGTAATTCACCTTTTAAACATGCAGAGTTGAACACTCCAAATGCCCATTTTTCAAAACGGGTTTCAAATATCTCACTGTTTTGGCTTTCTTGTCTGTATGTGTGTTCTGGACATTTCGGCAATAGTTACAACCCATAAAACTGAAAACTGCCCCTCAGACATATGAAAGTAGCCCTCTCCAGCTCTAGTCCCACCTATATCTGGTCTGGAAACCCTTCTGTCACACACACAAACACATGTACATACGCACGTGCATGTGTGTGTGTGCACAAATACACATACAGAGAGAGAGAGAGAGAGAGAGAAAGAGAGAGAGAGGGAGAAAGGACCTTCTGTAGTTTTAGGAGGTGCTGCATTATCTAGCCCTTTGGGACAAGTGTGGTAAAGTAATTTTTGTAGAATTAGGAATTGTGTAAACAACTTTATACAGATTAAAATGAGCACCAGTGTAAGGCTCCTGATCTAAATTAGGACCCTGATGTGGAGTAGTGTAGTAGACAAAGTGCTTTGTGGCACAGTGGTTAAACTGCTGTGCTGCAGTCAAAAGTCGGCTCACAACTGGGTTCAGTGCCAGGTAGGTGGCTCAAAGTTCACTGAGCCTTCCGTCCTTCTGAGATCAGTAAAACTGAGTACCCCCCAGGTAGCTGGCTCAAAGTGCACTGAGCCTTCCATCCTTCTGAGATCAGTAAAACTGAGTACCCAGCTTGCTGGGGAAGGGCGGGGGGGGGATGCGTAGCCTGCGTAATTAAATTATAAACTGCCCAGAGAGTGTTTTAAGCACTATGAGCCAGTATACTGTATAAGCAGCACACACTTTGCTTTTGCTTTGCCTCAACAGTTGCACGCATGTGCACACATGTGCGCATGCGCATGCGAGCACACACACACTTTTATCCAAAGGTGGATTAGCTAACCATAGCTTCTCTCTCTCTCTCTCTCTCTCTCTCTCTCATTTGGGGGTGGGAGATTCCCTTCCTGACAGTGGAAGGTTTCCTTCCTATCCAGATTTCAGGTGTCACGTTTCCAGTCCAGACTGGACTAACAAGACTGTGTTTTACCTTGAAATACTACCAGGAGCCCTTCTCCAGGAAGTTTTATGAATGGATCTTAACCCTTCTTTGCTCTCCTCCCTGCTTGTGCTCTAGATCCTGACAGGGGAGGACTGGAATGCTGTGATGTATGATGGGATCATGGCCTATGGAGGCCCCGTTTTTCCGGGCATGCTAGTCTGTGTCTATTTCATCATCCTCTTTATCTGTGGCAACTGTATCCTTTGATTCTTGAGTTGGCAGGGTAGATTAACAGATCTTAAAGCCAGGAGGATTATCCTAGGCGGCTGAAGTGCTAATTGGTCTAGAAACCTGTTGCTGTATTTGCCCTCCCAGTTTAATTCTCTTTGTGAACCGATGCAAAATATTGCAGTCAGATGGCGCCTTTTTGTGAGACCACTTTCCCAGCGAAGATCCCTTTGCTTGTCTTTGGCATGATCTTTAGAAGGAAGGCGAGCGTTTCAATGGGCCCCACCTTTAGCAGCCTTTCCTTCCCAGCCTTTCCAAGACAGGCCTGCTTAGCTCAGCTGCCTGCCCTGGACCAGCAATAATAGGCAGCCACCTCTTCTCGGGCGTGTTGCGTCCTCCTGTGCCCTGGAGGGGTATGACGGCCAAAGTGATTCTTCTGGCCACATCCCATGGGAAAGGTGGCTAGTTTTTACTCCGTTTTGTCTTGGAATGCATAGATTCTTTGACCTGGCCCTTAATTCCATACTGTCTCCCATTAGTTAATACTGTTGATACCTCTTTATTGCACTATTGAAACCAACCCTTTGGTGACCCGTTATATTTTTTTCATCCATTCCCTGCCTTATCTCTTCTGGCAGCCGCTACCGAACCACATTATAGGTAGAGGAGGCCCTTGCCTTCACTCTCTCGTCTTTGTAGCCCCTGAAGATAGAAATCAAGCTGATCTTTCCCTGGCATCATACATACAGCCTGATGGTTGCCATCCATTGCGACACAATCTGGAACCAAAGCTTGAGTAAGGAGTGCTTTATAGAGATGAGTGTTAACATACTTGCCTCCGAGGGACAGGCAAAATGTTTAAATGATTTATTGGTTAATTGATTTATCTTTAATGTTAAAGATAAATCCTGGCATTTTTTAAAAAAACTTCAGGTAGCAATCACCTTATAAAAAGTAATATTCTTGATACTTTTTTACACACACACATTTTGACAAAATAGGCATCTTCTAAAACAAAACCATCCACCTTGCTTTGGAATGATTGTGTTTTGAAATCTGATGGGTGGATTCATTAATCAACTCCTACTCATATGATTGGTCCATATGAAATAAAGTCCTGTGTGAAGTATATATATCAGTAGATCAAGGCAGTTTGTCTTCTGATGAGCTACTTTTTCCTGAACCCTCGACCCCAGATATCCTGCTCAATGTCTTCTTGGCCATTGCTGTGGACAATCTTGCTGATGGGGACAATATCAATACCTCCAAAGAAGAGGAACAGAAGGAGAAGTGAGTACTGCTCCTGTCAATAAGAGACCAGGAGCGTGCTGGATGGCTTTTTGGAGGAACAGAGAAGAGAGGCACCTTCCCAGAGCTGTTTGATTTATTTTACCATTTGTTAAATGGCAGCTCGCAAGCTATCTTGCTAGGATCTCATTCTAAATTGAAGATCAGGTTTGAGCCAAAGCATACAATGGGTGCCCTACACAGTGCTTGTGATTGCCGGGCCTTTTCCCCAGTAACCCCTGGACCTTGCCGAGATTCCCATGCCCTCACATTTTTAAAATTAGTTTGGAAAAAGATCTCTGTAGCCTTAGGGGAATGGTGGGCAATTGGACATGTACCCCAATACCTCTGTGTACCCCAAATTCTAAGTTTCTTCCAAAAACACTTTTTTTAAAAACCAAAGGCAATTTTTATCTCACTATACCGATAAGCAGTTTTTCAGGACACAACCTTAACACAACTTCCTAAAAGCACCTTTATCTACACTTCAAAGGCAACAGCCTACAATTGGTATCATCTGGTAGACAAGCTGATTGCTTTACTTACTGCTGGGACGTTTGTGCCATCAATATTTTGAGTGTTCCTTGTAGGCGTTCTTAGTGCCATTGTTGCTTGGAAAACGGATCACTGATGTAAATGCCAGCTTCTTTCACCCCTCTCATTTGATCCCCACCCCACCACAATGTACACTGTGTATATTAAATTGCAGCCCAACTATTATACTCCATTTCCAAAGAGGTACCGTGTTTCCCCGAAAATAGCGTCTTATATTAATTTTTGCTCCAAAAAACACATTAGAGCTTATTTTCATGGGATGTTTTATTTTACAGTCATGTCATCTTCTGGTTGTTGCACCATTGTGCAATGCTGCACAATGGTGTAGGGCCAGGTTTCACTTAACTAAGGCTTATTTTTTGGGGTAGGGCTTATATTATAAGCATCCTAGAAAATCATACTAGGGCTTATTTTCAGGTTAGGTCTTATTTTCGGGGAAACAGGGTAACTATGTTAATCTGTCTCAGTATGTTGGTGAAAGGAAAGGAAAATGCTTGAATTGAAACAAATCTCTTCATTTAAGTTTCTGCAATATTTTTGTTACTTTTGTTTTTCTTATATATTATGTTGTTTGTGAACTTAGTACATTGAAGTTCAAGTTTGAGTCTAGTTCTGGAGCAAGTGAATGACCTCAAATTTCTGAGCTATACAGATATGTATAGTGTCTGTACACCTACTTTACTTGGTTGATGTGAGTATAAATGAAATAATGGGAAAGGAGAATAGCTTATACACTTAGGGATGTGTTAAATGCCTGCTGAGTGTCTTGCAGGAATTCAAGGCACTGTTCAGAGAAGACAACCATTCTCCCATTTTCAGATGATATATGTAAAACAGCTCATGTTTTCCTTTCCCTCTTATATGATGGCTCTTTCCCTGGTCCCTTGTCACGATACAGAGAGATACCAGCAGAGGGAGAACAGAGCACCGAGACGGACGAGAATCCTGTGAAGGTAAAAACTGAAATCTCCTGACCTTCAACTCTTAACTGTGCTGCTTCTGGACAGAGATAGAGCTGACACTCTCCAGGATTTGAAAGCAATAGTTCCACATTGTGTGCATCATAGCCCAGTGTATCTAATTAGAAACCACATCAACATAAATGGATATGAAATAGCCTGGCAAAATCCAGATGGAGATTTAAGAAGTCTCCGAATCTGCTGACCTGCAGAAGTCATCTTGACAAATCCACCGTTCTGTGATTCTGGGGCAGCCACTCAGGATATATTGATGTGCCCTTGCATAACAAATGTGGCACAGGGCAATCTTTACAAAGTGCAGACTTGGTTTGGGTACCTCTTAGTCTTCTTCTGTTACTATAACATCTTGCTCCTTCTTAATCAGAAAACAAAAAAGCTAGCTGGTTGTGTTCCTGGGATTTCCACCTTTTTATTCTGTGCATACATAAGGGCATTTCCTGGACAATCAGAGTTTATTCTGTGCACGTTTCTAGTGTAGACAAGTGAATATCATTAGGAACAGCTACTGTTATACCTTGGAGGTGGAATGTGCACGTTTCTAGTGTAGACAAGTGAATATCATTAGGAACAGCTACTGTTATACCTTGGAGGTGGAATGGCAGCTGGTTGTGTTCCTGAGATTTCCACCTTTTTATTCTGTGCACATTTCTAGTGTAGGCAAGTGAATATCATTAGGAATAGCTACTGTTATACCTTGGAGGTGGAATGGATTAGTCTTCCAATGTCCTATTTGACCTCAGTTTCTGCCATTTCATACCCTTCTTCTTGCCTGATCTCAGCTCATCACATTTTGCTACTTTTCTACCATTTTTAACCAGGCTTTCCAAAGTTTGCATCTTGGATAGTTTCTTCTTATGATGGCCCTTTTATTTCAGGTGTGGATTTACACAGCTGGGCACAATAGTACAGACATTTTTTTTTCTTTTTCCCCTTTTCATTTATCTAGGCACCTACAACACCTGTACAACTTCTCTTTTCATCTCTTGTTGTTCTGGGCCGTCACGTTGTTTCGGATTTATGGTGACCCTATGAATGACTGGCCTCCAAAGTGGCCTGTTCACAACATTCCTGCTCATTCTTGTACACTCAAGCCTGTGGCTTGCTTTAGGAAGTCAAACCGCCTTGTATTTGGTCTTCCTCTTTTTCTTTTGCCTTCCACCTTTCCCAGCATTATTGTCTTTTCCAGAGACTCCCGCCTTCTCATGATGTGCCCAAAGTAGGGCAGCCTCAGTTTCTACATTTTTGCCTCCAGAGATAGGTCAGGCTTGATTTGCTCTTGGACCCCACTTGTTTGTCTTTCTGGAAGTCCAGTTATCTACAAGGCTCTCCATCACATTTCAAATGAATTATTTTCCCCCCTGCCAGCTTTCTTTACTGTCCATCTTTCACAGCCATACATGGTGATCTTTTCATCTTTAAGTACCTGGAATGAACAGCTGCATAGGATGTGCTCCTCTGGGGAATAGAATTTGGGAGAAGCTGTTGCACTTCCTCTTCCTCTTTGCTAATTAAGGAAACCCTCCCCTCTCTTTCCTGCACATCTAGCTTGTAATCTAGGCAGGTTATAATTTGTTCAGCACCCAGTTCTGACTTCACGGAGCCTGCCCGTTGAAAGCCACCATTATAAAAGCAAAATACATCAACAGGCTCTTGAGCTTCAAAGTACTCAGTTTGATCATTGCTGGTAACCACCCGTGACTGCCTCTCCAATACACTGCACAGATGGCCAGTCATGAATTTGGGCCCACATCAACTGGGGTGAGGTGGGGAAGGGCAATGAGCACCTACAGTAACCCATGTGACATTGCAGTGACCATCCAAATGGTCATATGCCACCCATTTCAGGACTGTTGTCTTGTGGACAAGCATCGCGTGATGTTTACAGGGGATAGAGGGTATTTTTGATACCCATGTGAAAAGAGAGTGGTAATCCTGCTTCGGATTACAGCAGGAGGAGCTTGCCTTGGCAGCAGGAGGCAACTGTGTGGGGACCTTCCTTGGCTAATTCTAATGGCTCTGTTCCAACTTATATTTCCCACTTGGATTCAGATGGAGAGGAATTACAGGTACTCCAAGGCAGAGGAAGGGATTTCATTTGTAGATATCTCTATGCCCTAATTCATTAAGGTAACAATTAAAGTCTGTGTCTGGGCTGCACCATGTCAGACTACAAGAGAGCAATATGACTGGATACTCTTTCATACAAAAAAGGCTGCACCTCTCTACATAAAAAAAACTGAATTAGTATGCTAGGAAGAAGGGATCCCCACCACATACTCTTTCCAATGGAAGAATTAGAAGTCGTATGAACCTCCATCTGAACCCTGAAAAAGTGCAGCCCAGACACAGAGTTTCCACCTCAGAATGGAACTGGCTTATGAAAACAGAGGTTATGGGTGGTGACCACTGGTGGACAAATTGAATAATTTGGTGCTGACAAGACCACCATTGTATTTTGCTTTTACAACCTGGCAGAGTTTGTGAAATCATAACTGAGAGCTGGGTGAACTGCCTCATGCTTTTGTTTTTCCTTCAAACTAGTCACTCCTGCTTCAATCAGAGGCAACCTTCTCCTAAATTGACCAGCTAAGCTATTAAAAAGTGCTGATTCCCACCCCCCAGCTTTGGAATAGGGTGGGGAAACGAGAGTTCAGATCTGGAAAATGGCCCAGAGAAAAGAGTGATGGCCAGCACTGTCGTTCCAGTCAATGCCAGAGTCTCTTTCACAATTGCTTTTCAGTGAGGAGGATGATAGTTGGTTATGGGTCTCTATATCATGCTTCTTTCATCCCCAGGGGTTCTCTGGCAGATTCTCTTAGAGTACCTTCTTCTGCCAAATGTTAGTAACCACTGGCCTCCATCATACATGCATATGACACCAGCCAGCACCTTACGACGTAGCTACATGGGAGGAAGCTGGGGCTGTTGTACAAAGTAGATATAGGCATATGAGCATGCAGATGTGTCCAAAGAGAAAGCCTCCTCGTGCTCTTATTCTACAAGCTATGGGCTCCAAGCATGCCCAGTATACGCAAAGGCAGAACTTCTTTGTAGCAGATAGCCTGCAAAATAACAAAGTATTGGGGCTGGAGATCAAAGAAAGCCCAACAAAATGAGATTTTAGAAGTATTTAAACTCTTTGGGTTTACATTCCAAAAAATCTTGATGTATGTTTTTATGTCCATTCACTGCCATATCCATGCATGCAGGCCAGAATCTCATGTACCAGCTTACCTTACACAGGAACAATTATAGCTCACCTATAAGTAAATCTGAAAGCACCTTAGTGTTGGAGAGGTGTGATTCAAGCACCTCTTGTGTTACAGAAATCAGACTTCATGGGAATCCCATGCTTATGTCCTGCTTGGTATTAATTTTCTTTTTGCTTGGATGTAATTGTTTTTCCTTTTGTTTCCTGATTATCATCTGTCTTACATATAAATTCCTATTCATTTCTATAAGGCTTGTGCAACAAAACTTCCTGGATAATCCCTTTGGTTAGCCCCACTCCTAATCTGGTGGCTTTATTTTGTAATGGCACCAATATCGGCTACCAGAGGACCCATCCCATAGGGTAAGATACTCATGAAAGCAGGAAAGAGGTCGTATGTTTGTGCGTGTCTAATCTTTACAACAGAAGGAAATTTCAGGTGGAGCAACCTGAACTTTCCCTGCTTTCGTAGTCTATTAGAGCTGTGAATGAGATTATAAAAAAGATATTCAATATACAAGTTATTGCCCCCAAAGAAGGCCATCAACAATTTGGGCCAAAAATGCATTGGACAGGTTTTTAACTGTAATGAATCTGCATTTTTAGCCATCCTGAGAAGAGTCTCAGGAGGGCTAAAATTAGGTAGCCAGTCTGAGAATTCGGGCAGCCTACCAATCTTTCATAATTGGGTAGATTTAACCTTGCAGGAAAAGGCATGTTTTGCTGGGCATGCTTTACATTTGTGGTTGGGATGCAGGTGCAAAGTGTTTCATGCATCCTTCTTTGCTCAGGTATTCAGGTTTGGGAGTGTTGAGTGGAATCTCCCTATTATGTCTCTCGTACCCATTTTTCTTTCCCTATTTAAGTGGTATTTCATCTGCTTTTTCCTTAGGTGGAATGTGGTGAGGAAGAGGAAGAAGAAGAAGGTAGTGAAGAACAAGGTAAGGAAGCAAACTCTATTTACTGGGAAACTCCTAACAATTATTACCCTACTATGACAAACGGGCAATTTGGGAGATAGTGAAAATTTTTGTTTGGAACAGGTTTTAATTTGTACTAAACAAATTAGCTTTTTCTGGAATGTGTGTAGATGATGAAACCCAATGCAGTTAGACTGGAAAATACATATGCAAATTCATACATATAAAGCAGTGTGTGCAAAACAAGCACAAAATTGAAGGAGAGGATAAAATCCAGTAGTAAGTCACTAGTAGAGTAGGGCTATTAAATCAGTGGGAATTTGGTGAGTCAATACCGATTTAAATTCCATTGCTTCAATGGGCCTGCTTTAATTATGTCTCACCACTGCATTTCACCTAGTATATGCAACAAAAGATTTTGAGGAAAAGGAACAAAAATGTTTTATTCAATTCAAAAATTACTTACAGAAATTTATGTTTGAAAACATTCATACAAGAATACATGTGTAGCGGGTACCCCAGTCAGCACCTGTCTGTCACCAGGGAACCTTGGCAGCAGAGCCAATGAGAAGGACGGAAGGCGGGAGCAGGAGAGAAGGGGGGGTACAAAAGGAGGAGTCTGAAGGGAGAGAGGAAGTTTTAGTTAGATTGGTGGAGTGTGAGATAGATAGGAGGAGTGTGAGAGTGGAGGAGTGTGAGACAGTGAGACAGTGAGAGTAGAGTGAGAGGACAAACAAAGATTGAGATCAGAGGTTCAAAGGGGATTGATTGAGGTAGATTGAAATCAGAGATTGGAAAATATATTGAAGCAATAGAAGTAGTTAAATACAGCCTTGGTTATATATGTGATTTGCTTCCTGGACTCTGTTATTTTCAACCAATCATTAACCCCACCCTGATAAATAAACTTAATGCGTTTATTAACTGGTGTGTCCTTGAAGTGACTGATGTTTAAAAGAAAACATCTGGTGGCAGTGTGAGGAGAATGAAGCCGCTTGCGTCTTTGTGAGGAACCAAAAGAAAATAAAGGTCTCAAAGATGGAGTTGCGTCACAACATGTCTTTAAAAAATAGGGAATTCTGTGTTGTGAAAAATGCACAAAAGAATATGTACATATTTTAATGCTGACTGTAAGAGGAAATATGAATCTAATGTGTTACTGAGATGGAGTAAAGTGAAACTCTGAGAACACCCAACAAACTAGAGAACCTGAACAAAAGACCTGAACCTCTTTGTTGGAAGAACTGGAGTACGATATCCAGTCCACAACTAGCTCAGCTGCAACTTTAAAACCTCGTTTCCAATGTAGCCTGCATCCTTCCTGAATTACTGTACATCTTTAAAAAATGTGCCTGGCAAAATCCATCTTGTCATGAACTTTTGGATTTTAAGTTCTTTGCACTGGTACAAGCCTGATCCATGAAAGCTAGCAGATTGTATGATGATCTTTTTAGTGGTCTATAAATGTATCACCTAGTCTTGCATTTTTATTTTGTAATGACCACATGGTCCTTTTTATTTGAACAAATGCTGCAAAGCTTGAAACAGATCTAGTAATTTTGCTTCTCTTTCCCATAAAACAATTATCAGTCATCTTCACATAAACAACCTTGTATTTCCCATAGGCTATTCAGACCTTAAATTGATAGGCCTTCTGTTACAGTGGCCAAGTAGGAAATCCCAGAGTAAAAGTAGCTTTTACAGTCCTGCACAGACAGGTAATGTTTCAGGACCTTGGAGAGCTCAATGCAGCCTCTCTTGCGGGCAGTATCTACATCTCAGCTTGAGTCTTTTGCCAGAGAGCAAAAACAGAACTTGGTATATATTGGATGAACAGAAAAGAAACATTCTTGACTATTGGAAGTATCTCTGCGCTCCAGCAGTGTTGATCTCACATCTGAGAGTATGGGAATTAGCTTTCTTTGTCTGGTGATCAGTCTTTAGGGCTAGAGCATGGTATTTCTTTAAAGTTTAACTTTGCAAACATGAAATGCTGCTTCCGTCGCCTCACTCCAACATTAACATGCTTTCAGCTGTAATTATGTCTGGTTTTGCTTTCATCTTTCCTCAAGCTTATCATCCCATCTAGGAAGGATGAGGATTGTTATCTGTCACCTCTCCAGAGCACCAACTTGAGGAAGCCTGTGTCATATATACTTCCTAGGGTTTTGGTTGTCCCTTCAGTTCCTAGAAAGCCTTAGAAGAGCCACTCTCTAGCCTGGTCCTTACTGCTCCATCACCTCTCACCTTGTTTGGTGCATCAGCCTCAGTTCTTGTTGGCACATGAACTCCCTAGAATGTGAGGCCCTTCTAGGTATTTTCCCCATTAGAAGAGCCAGAGTCAGGGGAAGAAATCTCTGGAGGATCTGGGTTTGGTTGTTTGAAGTTCAGGACTCGAAGATTTGAGCTCCTTTCCTCCATTCATACCATTGACACTCCTAACTCATCTAGTTTGTCATGCTATGTCAGTACAGTGTCAGTTCTTGAAATAAGAGTCATGACACAACAACAACAACAACAACAACAACAACAAGAAAATCTCTCTTAGGTGAGGAGGATGAAGAAGGAGATCAGAAGAGCCTGGCAGAGTCTCATCTTGACAAAGTGGATGAAGCCCCCAAGCAGAAGGTGGTGCCAATTCCTGATGGGAGCGCCTTCTTCTGTCTCAGCAAGACAAATCCGTAAGTAAGAAAAGATGCAAAATAAAGGCAAAAGAGGAGGGGGTAGCTTTCTTGCTGTAATGTGATGGGCTCAGAGCCATATTTAATTAGAGATGGGCATGACATCTATGCGATGAATTCCTTCCCTTTTCCCACCAGGCTTCGTGTTGGGTGTCACAAGCTGATCCATCACCACATCTTCACCAATCTCATCCTCGTCTTCATCATCCTCAGCAGCATCTCTCTAGCAGCGGAGGATCCCATCCGTGCACATTCTTTTCGTAACATTGTAAGCTGCCTCTTATAGAAATACAAAAGGGTAGAAGCTGACTGAATAGCTCGGTGAGTTAGGTGTCTAGGTTGGGAGTTCAGTTCCCCCACTGAGCCTCCTGGGAGAAGGAGCCAGCCTGTGTAGCTTTGGGCCAGCTGCGTAGTCCAGAAGAAGAGAAAGGTAAGCCACTTCAGAGTCCTCTCTACCAAGAAAACCCTGGAAAGGGTTGCCAGAAATCAGAACTGACTTGATGGCCAATGTTGTTGTTGTTGTTGTTATTATTAAGAGAAAAGGAATGGAGGTGGAAGAGTCTTGCTCTCCTCTTCTTCTTTGCTTTTCTTTTCTTCCTTGCCTTTTAAAAAACATTTTTCTTTCTCCTTTTTCTCTCTCTTTTTCTCTCATTACTCAGATTCTGGGCTACTTTGACTATGCCTTCACTTCTATCTTCACTGTTGAGATCCTGCTTAAGGTACCAGGCCTAAGCTGAGTGAGGATGAGAGGGATGAAATAGCAGGGAGCGACACAGGTTGCCAGTCCATCCATTGGAATAAGTAAACATGTGTCCCTGAATCCAAATCTGCAAGGCAGCACCAAACAGTGTTTGGTTGTCAGTGCCCTCAGAGCACTATGGTTGCTAATTTTTGTATGTGTGAGGTGGGGGTGGGGGTGGATGGCCTGGAGGAATGGTGATCAGCAATGGCAGAATGAGATCCAAGTAATTTTGTACGACAGTAAACTAGTTGAGCGCTCAGCTTCCAGGAGAGCTGGATCAGGGCTGATATTCTCCACTCCTACACTAAGAATCCATATATCTATCTCATTTACTAATTAAAATGGTGCCAACTTTCCATGGTTTCACTGGGGGCATTTTCTGTACACTGGCTGCTGCAATTTCTTTAAAGAATCCTCTGCTGGATAGACCTTGTCCTCTTACTTTCCGAAGCATGAATCACAAAATGCGAGGTCATGTAGCACAAATTAGTTAGGCTTTAAGAAATCCTGGAGATACATTCATGTTGTTTTTAAAATGGAATGCACCACAACAGATTTAATGTAAACCTACACAAGAACAGGCTTTTGTCAACCTAAAGTAAACCTGCTCTTCTGTGAAATATAACGGTGACGTAGTACTTAACAGTTTGGAGCGATGGATGTAGTTAGTAGGAAGAGATTCAGACAGGGCTGCACATACTCTGCTGTGTCCAGATTAATATTTTGTACTGAAAAAGAGTCCAGTCCTATAACTTTGATGCAGCACACAAATGGGCAAAATTTGCACAGTTCTCTTATTCTTTTCCATTAGTTATTCTGACTTTATTAATAATGAGAAAGACCTGAAACGTCAGCTGAATATCACTCTAGGTTTTGAAAATTCACTCACAGAAACCATATACTGTAGTTGCAAATTGAGGACTAGAATTGTGCTAGGGTTCATTTAAAAAGAAAACAGATTTCCAGGAAGCTGAATTCTGGAATACTACATTGTGTAGGTGTTTTTCTGTTTTCCATGTGAATGTATTATTTGCACAGCCTTGGGAAAATAAGTTTTTTTAGGGTTTTTTTTCCCACTGCCACTCCCATCATTCCCCAGTCAGAATGGCAAGTAACTATGCTGGCTGTTGACCTCAAAGAGTTATACTGCAGTCCGAAAAAGTACTATTTTTCCTCTCTAACTTTGGGTCATTGGCTGACAATATTATCTGGAGTAATTCCTGAAATCCTCATTGATCCTAGACATTTTTGGCAAATTCTTTGTAGGGAATTCTTGCGTTTCTCATCTGACTTTGCAGTATTTATATACCCGTCCTTACTATGTGTCTCTTGAATATCACTGGACTGAGGATGAGGGTCATTGAGTTAGATCAGAGCAACTGGGGAGAGGCAGAGCTAAGTCTTCAAGTACCTGAGATCCAGACACATCTGGGAGAGAAGATGGAAGGGGAGTCTGGGCCTTGGAATGAAAGGCTAAAGCACCCTTCTGTCCTTAGATGACCGCTTACGGTGCCTTCCTGCACCAGGGCTCTTTCTGCAGGAACTGGTTCAACCTCCTGGATCTGCTGGTCGTCAGCGTCTCACTCATCTCCTTTGGCATCCAGTAAGTGTAAAAGGCGAGTGGGCAAAATATGTGGGCTAAGCCATGAAAGAAGAAGAAACAACACATTGTTCTGGTCCAAACTAAGACAAACGGGGCAAAATTAGGGTGTTGGAAGCAGCCAAGTGGAAAACAAGGCACAAGGAGGCTGGGTTTTTGTTTTCGTTTTTAAGCTCAGCAGCATTCACATTTCCCTCCCTCTTTCCACCTCAGCTCCAGTGCCATCTCTGTGGTGAAAATCCTGCGAGTCCTGAGGGTGCTGCGTCCTCTCCGAGCCATCAACCGGGCCAAGGGGCTCAAGGTGAGGGGACTTTTTTCAAAGGGCAACTGGTGAAGGACATGGAGCTGGAAGGAGATACATTCTTACACAGAGCAACGGGGTTGGACATGACGGTCTTATAGACCAGTGGTTCTTAACCTTTGTTACTCAGGTGTTTTTGGACTGCTACTCCCAGAAGCCTTCACCACCAGCTCTGCTGGCTGGGGTTTCTGGGAGTTGCAGTTCAAAAACACCTGAGTAACAAAGGTTAAGAACCACTGTTATAGACCCCTTCCAATTTCCCTATTCTATCGTCCTATGATTCTTGTTTCCTGTAGCATGTGGGCTAGGATGGCAGAAGCCCTCTTTCTCCTACGCCTTGTTTTAGTCTCTCACCTCATGTGGCTCTGGTGAGAGCAGAAAAACTCCCTGCTGGCCATCTCACACCCTCTCCATCCGCCTCTTTCCCTAACAGCATGTGGTGCAGTGTGTGTTCGTGGCAATCCGTACCATTGGGAACATCATGATAGTCACCACCTTGCTGCAGTTCATGTTTGCGTGCATTGGCGTCCAGCTGTTCAAGGTATGTAGTTCACTTCTCCATTGGGCAGCTCAGATTTAGCAAATGTATGTGTGGTTGCGCCAAGGACACGTTGACTAAGTGCATATGCATGGAGTGTGGGTGTCTTTTGGGGGAAGAGCACGCACCCTAAATTCTTCTAAAGGCCATCACCCTAGCAACTGATCTTTTACTGCAGCATGAAACAATTAGTTTGCTGTGGTTTTTTCCCCAGTTTGAACCGTAAGTCATCAACAAAGTCAAACTCGAGTTCAAGAAAAATAAAGGATATTTACATAGGCATCCCTATAAATGCTATGTGGGCAAATTAGTCATAGCTGTTATATAAACATGTTCAAACACTTCATGTCAAGTGGTCTCCACTATAGAATATTGCAGTTGTTCTTCATTATGGTGGTTTCTACGCACCATGTGTACAGATGCTGCCTATATTTGATCTGGACTAATCCACCTGCCTGCCTTTTTGGATTCTCCTTCTAGGGTCCTGGCTGTGGAGACTAAGTTCCGGATTTACCAGTGCTTTTTTTTTTTACCAGATTTACTGCTTTTTCATGGATTTTTGTTTCATGGATCGTTTCCACACACACATCCTCTTGATTGTCTTTGCCTTAATCTCTTTATTTTCTTTTTGGTTGCACTTTTTGACTTTGAAGGCTGCCAGGCCTTTCTTTTTTGGAAGAGAAATTAGCCAGAAGGAATGTTGCCCCTCCCCCACCCCACCCTGAGGGACAGGATTGTTGCTTGTGGTACCTCGGAGAGGCCCACGGGGTTCTCACAGGTCATCACGGCCAAAGCTCTACCAAGCAAGCTGAGTGGAAATTGGTCCTTGAAGCTTTGGCGGCAGCTACCCTGGCGAATAGCACAGGATTTGCTGCAGAAGTAAAATGAATGTATTTGAACTTTTAAAAACACAACACAAAGGTCAGTTCAAATCAGCCTGGCCCCGTTTTGTTACAGTTGCAGAGTTCCCCCCTACATAAAATAGAACCCCCCCCCACCGCTGGGGGTTTCTACTTTTTCAAGCAGGAGTGATTCTAATGATGTTTTGTGATCAGTCGTTTTGTTCTCCAAAGGGATGGAGGGGAACGTGACTGAGGGTAGTATTTTGGTGATGTGCTAAGATGGGCATGATGTTTGGGACAGCAGGAGGACCCACATCTGCAATCATTCTCCCTAGTCATCCTGAAGTGTTTTTAAAATAAAATCTTCAGTTTAGCACTAGATCACCTGATCACTCCATCAATAACGTAGTGCTCTGTCACCTCTGGATAGACATAAAAAGAAAGATAAAAATCAAATTGAAACAACTCTGATGTTCTATAGCAGATTACTGTGTTTCCATGGTCTGTTTGTATGTATTTGTACATTATGGAGAACTTTGGGAAATTGTCCCTTTTCTCTACTTCTGTGCAACTTTACCATGAACTGTTAAAGGAGAGCCAAGGATCCGCAGATTTCTCAAAAGAAGGGAGCTGTGGCACAGATCAAACTGCATTGGAATGAGGGGCCAGTGTAGATACGGGCACTGAAACAATACATTATCTCCATGTGATGCCCTCAAATAGAAGTGCAACATACATTGCGAATCAAGTGCCAACAAAGCCAACTCACTCTGATTTGGCTTGCTGGTGTAGTCGCAGCTTTAGATCAGTTTGGGGGAAAAGATGCTGCAGGCAGCTGATTCTGCCTTGAGGTGTACAGTACGTCTCCTAGAGGCATGATGCCATGGCAGGGGGAAGTGTACCCACACTTTATAGGCGGCATGGCAGGGCAATACAGGGCTGCCATTTCCATCAGCAGCCAAGATTTACCTTCAGACCATCAAAGTATGTGCCATATGATAGGGCTGAGAAAAAATAGATCCTAGATCTGAGAAGGCTGCCCTGCTGACACACCCTGTGTGATCTGGTTGGTGATCCACCTTTCAAGAAAGCAGGGGGCAACATATTGGGCAGAAGAACAGGAGCTTTCCCAGGAGAGAACGTCTTCGTGTTCTACAACTAATCAATCTTTAACCTTTGTCATTCTACTTCTGTCTCCAGGGCAAATTTTACAGCTGCACAGATGAGGCCCGGCATACTCCAAAGGAGTGCAAGTAGGTAACAGCCCAACCTTAGCAACAATACAACAATAAGCAGAGCATCCAATTAACTACCTCAGCCAAGATGACAGCCTTGCTTTATCCTAGTTCCAAAGAAACTGCTCCAGATAAACCCCAAATCTTTTCTTCTACCCCATTCTGTTTAGTCCAGATCCACTACCATCCTGACCGTCTCTTGCTTGTCTAGACAGGCCACTTGGGCCTTCTACAATATATTGTTCATTTCTGATGCATTCAGTGTTTTTCCTAATTTGAGGATTGATCCAATTTGAACCAGTCCTTTTCCTCTGGCTTTCCCTCGTTCTTGTTCTTCTAGAGAGAGTGGTTTGTTTTGTTCTGTGGAAGGAGGGAATTTGAGTGCTACAGCATTTCCTGTGAAGAGTTCATTTCCACATCTGTGACTGCATCAGAAGTTTCAACAGGCATTTTATCAAAATAAATAGTGAAGCTACAACAGGCAAATGGGTTTCTATAAAGGATTTCAAAGATCTCCTGAAGCAAAGCAGTTTCCAAATGTGTAACTCTTTAAAGTTCAGCGTAGACATGAATCCCAGTAAGCTCCATGGCCAGCTAGGGGAACATGGGACCAAGGATGGGAGGAACCTTTTCCTTGTCTGGATGGTCCCTAAATAAGAATAGCTAAATGCTGTCCACTATTACTTTAATGGCAGTGACATGGCTAAAGTTTTGAAATAATGAAGTACAAGTAAAATAGTTACCTGTAACTTGTTTCTTTATTTAGATAACAATCATGCAATGTAATTACATCTCAAAAGGACCGTAGCACGTAGGAACAAAGTGATCCCTCTGGAATAATGATGAATATATTATAGTTTATGTTAAGGATAAGTTTTTGAAGAGTGTATAAAACTCTTTTCAGAGGCATTTTGAAATGTTGTATCAATCCTTTAAAAAAAGTAAAGTGAGACAATTTAAAGGTAATGAGCAGTGGAACATCCAATGAAATTATTTTTAATTTGATTTGATTTGTTTTATATGTTGCCTTTCTTCCAGAACTGGGACCCAAGGCAGCATACAAAACTGCCATTTATTACAGTGTCTTTTTTTGTTTCTTTGTTGTTCAGTATTATAAATATTACAAGGCACAATGACAGCAGATTACTTTTCAAATACATTAGAGTAAGATGGGAACATATTATATTTTAAAAACATTTTATGAGCTCTGAACATGACAGTAGAAACAGTGGAACTGTCATCGGAGGCTAGATTTGGATTGTTGTCAAAAATGTTTTGGGACAGAAAGTTTTGGATATCCCGGACAACCCAGACAATATAGTTGCTGACCCTGAGCCAGACATCCTGGAGAGTGAGGTCAAGTGGGCCTTAGAAAGCCTGGCTAACAACAAGGCCAGTGGAGGTGATGGCACTCCAGCTGAACTATTTAAAATCTTAAAAGATGATGCTGTTAAGGTGCTACATTCAATATGCCAACAAGTTTGGAAAACTCAACAGTGGCCAGAGGACTGGAAAAGATCAGTCTACATCCCAATACCAAAGAAGGGCAGTGCCAAAGAATGCTCCAACTACCGGACAATTGCACTCATCTCACATGCCAGCAAGGTTATGCTCAAAATCATACAAGGTAGGCTTCAGCAGTATGTGGACCGAGAACTCCCAGAAGTACAAGCGGGATTCCGAAGGGGCAGAGGAACTCGAGACCAAATTGCCAACATGCGCTGGATTATGGAGAAAGCCAGAGAGTTCCAGAAAAACATCTACTTCTGCTTCATTGACTATGCAAAAGCCTTTGACTGTGTGGACCACAGCAAACTATGGCAAGTCCTAAAAGAAATGGGCGTCCCTGACCACCTTATCCATCTCCTGAGAAACCTATATGTGGGACAGGAAGCAACAGTTAGAACTGGATATGGAACAACGGATTGGTTCAAAATTGGGAAAGGAGTACGACAAGGCTGTATACTGTCACCCTGCTTATTTAACTTATATGCAGAATACATCATGCGGAAGGCTGGACTGGAGGAATCCCAAACTGGAATTAAGATTGCCGGAAGAAATATCAACAACCTCCGATATGCAGATGATACCACTCTGATGGCAGAAAGTGAGGAGGAATTAAAGAACCTTGTAATGAGGGTGAAAGACGAGAGTGCAAAAAACGGTCTGAAACTCAACATCAAAAAAACTAAGATCATGGCCACTGGTCCCATCACCTCCTGGGAAATAGAAGGGGAAGATATGGAGGCAGGGACAGATTTTACTTTCTTGGGCTCCATGATCACTGCAGATGGAGACAGCAGCCCTGAAATTAAAAGACGCCTTCGTCTTGGGAGGAAAGCGATGACAAATCTTGACAGCATCTTGAAAAGCAGAGACATCACCTTGCCAACAAAAGTCCGAATAGTCAAAGCTATGGTTTTTCCTGTCGTGATGTATGGAAGTGAGAGCTGGACCATAAAGAAAGCAGACCGCCGAAGAATTGATGCCTTTGAATTGTGGTGCTGGAGGAGACTCTTGAGAATCCCCTGGACTGCAAGGAGAACAAACCTATCAGTTCTAAAGGAAATCAACCCTGAATGCTCACTTGAAGGACAGATCCTGAAGCTGAGGCTCCAGTACTTTGGCCATCTAATGAGAAGAGAAGACTCCTTGGAAAAGACTTTGATGTTGGGAAAGTGTGAAGGCAAGAGGAGAAGGGGACGACCGAGGACGAGATGGTTGGACAGTGTCATCGAAGCAACCAACATGAATTTGACACAACTCCGGGAGGCGGTGGAAGATAGGATGGCCTGGCGTGCTCTGGTCCATGGGGTCACGAAGAGTCGGACATGACTAAACGACTGAACAAACAAACAAAGCATAAATTAGATGCTGAGAGACAACCCATGGGAGATAACTAGTTTCTTATCTTCTGAAAAATCACCTGACTGCAACCTTGGGATGTATTATTGAGATTTGATGGGGCGGGAGGTGTATTGGATTTACTCTGTTATTGTCAACCACCAGAATAGTGCTTTCCACGGGAGGTTCTGCTTATCTCTTTTCTCCTCCTGCTGTCTTTCCACTCAAAATTACTATCCCTCCCCAAACTGCTTCCCCCCCCCGTTTCCTCCTTTGCGAAAAGTTGGGGAGGGACCCTTTTCAGAAGGGTGGTTCTGAACATGTCAATGGCCAGAAGATATAGCATTGCACAGGCTTCTCCTGCTATGCCTTCTTTTAAATTAGCAGCCTCTCATGACTACTTTTCAGTGAGGGAAATGAAGAAGGTAGAAACTGTCCGCTCCTGTCCTCGTCTCTCTCTCCCGTGTTGCATCGAACCTAAAGTAACGATGAGGTGACGAAGAGGCAGAAAGAAAGAAAGAAAGGTGGCATCAGTTTTATGTGTAATTCAGGGCATTGTGTTTTCCACAAATGGGAACTTTATTGGATTTAAGGTCTAGGTTTCTTGAATCCTGCTACCTCCTATCTGGAACTCACGTGCCTGTATCTTATTCTTTCTCTTCCCCCCCCTCTCCCCCATCATCCTAGGGGCACATTCATTGTGTACAAGGATGGTGATGTGGCTCACCCGATGGTGCGTGATCGCCTGTGGCTCAACAGCGACTTCAACTTTGACAATGTGCTGTCGGGCATGATGGCCCTGTTCACTGTCTCCACTTTTGAAGGCTGGCCAGCGTAAGTTGCTTCAGTGGAAATTGTGGATGATGTGCATGTGTGAGAGCAGGGAGAAAGAGGAACGTGCTCAAAAGTCATCACCTGATGCTGATGCTGCCTAGTTGTTCACCATTCCCAGATTTTGTTTTCACCCTTTTCCGCTTCCCTCTTTGTATTCTTCCTTAAGTGTGTGACTATTTTGTTTTGCCACCCACAAAGTGGCATTATATTGCCTCTGTTTCTGTCTTCAGTCATGAAAAAAGTAGTATATGATTATCAAAAACTAGATCAACCCTTCTTTCTCTGGATTACACTGAAGATGGGCACAGGACTTTGTGGTATTCAGGAATCCTTTAGGCAAGTTGGTCTAAAACTAAAATTCCAAGGTTTTGAAAGAGGTGAGGTAGAGGACCTTGTGGCAAGGCCTTGTTTGAGATGCCCATGAACAGAGGACGCTCTCACAGCCTCTGCTCTGTCACTGCTCACAGCCTCCAGCCAGTGTGAGATAATGAGAGCCAACGAGGCAGTGCTTAAGCAATAGAGCTGGTTCTTGGCCAGGGGCCCAATCTGTGTGGGCTTCTTTGCAGGTTGGTGCCGAGAGGCATCAGGGACCCCAGATATGCAGTGCATGATAGAAGTAACTTTTACCCACAAGCCTCAGTAGTCAGAAGTATTTAATTTATTTTATTAAAATACTGTATTTCCAAACTGCCTTTCCATATATGAGGCTTTGTCTGTGAAACCAAACATTTTGCTTTTGCCTTTGATAAACTTTATCTCTTTTCTCACCCACCCTCCATGCTTTTCTGGTTCCTGCTATGTGCTCTCTGTCATCCTGCCTATGCTAGGCTACTGTACAAGGCCATTGATGCCAATGCAGAAAACCATGGCCCCATCTACAACTACCGGGTGGAGATCTCCATCTTCTTCATTGTTTACATCATCATCATTGCCTTCTTCATGATGAATATCTTCGTGGGCTTTGTCATCATCACTTTCCGGGCACAAGGAGAACAGGAATACAAGAACTGTGAGCTGGATAAGAATCAGGTACCTGCATCCTACTCCCACTCCTTCATGCTGTGTTGGTAGAAACAATGGTTTCCACTATCCCCCCCTCCTCCAGCAACATTACAAGAACTTTGCCAAGATCTAGTCATGATTACAGTAATAGGGCTGGGTAAGTAACCATGTTGGAGGAACCAGGGCTGAAATAGAATGGGCAAGGGCATAAGAGAATGAGATCTTGGTGTAGGTTTCAGTGTGCAAAAAGCTTTATGGGTGGACATGGAATGAGAAATGCATGCATGGGACTTAAGTAAAGAGACCAATGACATTTCCATCTATAAGACAGATTGCTTTCATCCTCTGAGGCCTGCCCAGCATTGAAGTAAATTTAGGGTCTAGAGCAGTGGTTCCCAACCTTGGGTAACCCAGGTGTTCTTGGACTGCAACTCCCAGAAGCCTTCATCACCAGCTGTGCTGGCCTGGATTTCTGGGAGTTGCAGTCCAAGAACACCTGGATTACTCAAAGTTGGGAACCACTGCTCTAGATCATGAAGGCTACAGAGATCTGTGTTTTTGTGTATCTGTTGATGTTTCTCAAAGCTAGTTATTAGAACAGAGTATTCCTGGTGTTGTTTTTGTTTTAAAAAAATTCTACACTGTTTGAATGTTTTCCCTCTTCCCTTCCACAGCGGCAGTGTGTTGAATATGCTTTGAAGGCTCAGCCATTACGGCGCTACATCCCCAAGAACAAGTATCAGTACAAGTTCTGGTACATAGTCAACTCCACTGGGTTTGAGTACATCATGTTTGTGCTTATTCTACTCAACACCATTGCATTGGCTGTACAGGTGAGTCTGGTTCAGCTAAGAGCAACAGCAAGAAAGGGGATGCGGGTGGGTGAAATGAGGTGGTGGATGGACACCAGTTGTCATCCAACATCATCTGGAGAGACACAGTGGCTCATTCTTAGATACCTCCAAACCACAATTCCCAGTGTCAGGCATCAACAGAGCAGACATATGACTGAGAAAAGAGTTGCATGTTTGCAATTTTTGTGACATGGGCATGATAGAAGGCCATGCTTAAGGGTGCATATGAGAATCTGTGGTCCAGCTCCATGCTGAAATATAAATCCACCCTTAGATGGGGAGGTGGGCATACATGACATGATCTGTCCCAAATCCCTGTTTCGTTGAGGTACTTTGACAAAAGTAGGATCACTGAAATGGATGGTCAATCTGAATGGACTCTGGATTGGAGCTGGAAAGGAAAAGCTAAGGAAGGGGAGGATCAAAATGATGGTCAAGGCAATGTACAGTATTGTGTTATATGTTGGCAATGAGAGGGAAGCTGCAGAAATCCAAGTGGGACCCAACAGCAGACTTGGAGAAGAGATGATAAAGGTGAAATGGAGTCTGTGGGAGACACACAGTGAAGGCATTGGGTGTGGGCCATGTGTCCTACCTTATTATATGAGAGCCAATGGGATGAACTCCTTGTTGCTTCCCAATCCATGCATAAGGAAGAGGGAGATAAAACTTGCTTAGGAAGGATGGCTTTTTGAGCCTAAGGTTGGCTCTACCTCTTAAGCAATTCACAAGCAAAGGCAGCTTGAGCACCCAACACCCCCCCGCCCGAAAGATGTTCTTACATGTTTTGTGCCTTGTTTCCATTTTCAGCATTATGAACAGTCCCAGCCCTTTAACTATGTCATGGATCTGCTCAACATGGTTTTCACCGGCCTCTTCACTATCGAGATGGTGTTGAAGATCATTGCGTTCAAGCCTAAGGTTTGGGAACTGGGGGCAGGGGAGTTCCTCAAAAGTTGTTTTGCTTGCTGCAGTGGTTCCCAACCTGGGGTCTCCAGATGTTCTTGGAGTACAACTCCCGGAAATCCTGACTGACACAGCTAGTGATGAAAGCTTCTGGGAGTTTTACTCCAAGAGCATCTGGGGACCCAAGGTTGGGAACCACTGGCTTTCAGGATTCTTACTGCCTAACTCTTCATAAACAACCACAACCTGTCAAGCTAACTCGAGAGCTTTCCAAAAGTCCTGACATTTTGCATGGTACAGTAGTCTCCACCTGAGCCATAACCCTCAGTGACGTTTGAGCATCTTAACCCATGAGGCTTCACCAGGGGGTTCTGTTTTCAGTCTTCTGTGTGAACGACAACTATTTGCAGTGATAAAGAGTGTGAGAGGCAATCTTGATTCCTGGAATGTGCCATCTTTTGGGTAAACCACCCTCTGTGTGGCCCCAGAAGAGGTAGGGCACCAATCCAAGAATCTCTTGCATTACTTCTGCAATTCTTGGATGTTCTTTGTAAAATCAGCATGCAAACAGTGGGTTATTTTGCCTGCCTTCAAGTCTTGGAAAATGCCTGGCTACCTTTGGAGCTAGTCACTGGCAAAGAGAGCTGAAGGCTAAATATGCAACTCATGTTTGAAAATGCCATTTCTTGTCCGGAATCTCATTCAGGGATTTATGGTGTCTACAGGGACAGACATTCCTCTTTCCATGAGATTCTGAAGCATATCATATTACTGCAAAGGAAGTGGCTCACATTGTGCCTGCCTGCCTGCGGTTTCATGGTAACACTCTCAAGGAGAACAGAAAGCTTGAGAGAATGTGAGACAAACATATTTAGAGTTATAACCCACATCAGAGGTGCAGGTTGAGAAACAAAGCAAAACAGAAGAAGATTTCACATACGTTCCTTCCTTAACTCCCAATTCCACACTTAAATATGTATTTAAAATTTAAAATTTAAAACACATATATGTATATTTTATATACATAATATATATATTATATATACAGTATATATATACAGTATACAGTATATATATATACAATACACACACACACACACACACACAGTATATATATATGTATATAATTTGCCATTTGAAGCAGCTGCCTTAGTCTGCCTAATGGCAGAGCCTGCTCTGCATGAGAAACACTTGTCTGTATTCTCTTTGTGACTGAAATGAAGAACACATGGTATTCTCATGTGAGTATTCTTAATGGATGTTAGAAATTGCATTGGGATACAAGTAAGTAGCAGGCTGTCACTGGAACAGATTAGATCAGTGCAAAGGGAGGGTTTCATAGGTTAGAGCAGTGCCACAGTTTGCACCCAAAAGAGAATAAGAAGTCAGCCCAAGCTTTGGCACACCCATGTGGTGCAGTTCCAGAGCAAACCCCATTCCTCTTGAAAGTAATCATGCAATTCTGCTCAGATCAGTATAATATTAGAGGGTGCTAGAAAAGAAGGAGGAAATGTATCCGTGCTGATTTGGTCTATATGTACAAGCAGGACTGGTTCCATATAAACCTTTTTGTGTTCTGTTGCAGCACTACTTCGTAGATGCATGGAATACCTTCGATGCTCTGATCGTGGTTGGGAGCGTAGTGGATATCGCAGTTACTGAAGTCAATGTGAGCAATAGCCGAAAGCACAAATGCCTTGTAAAATGGCCAAATATTATTGTTCCTGCAGCAGCTGGCTACCTGAGTGGTGCTGAAGCACTTCTGCAGCAAAGCCCTTGAAAATGTCACAGTATTTTGTTCATCTGCAATTTATTTCTTAGGAACATTTATAATGTCAATGTGGTATACAACAGTATAAAAAATACAATATACACAACATACAAATGCACAATATAGTTTATATAATACACAAGTACACCAATACACACATTAACATACGACCTTTACTGTATGTGATTCATGAGATAGATGGCGTGCCAGACTATGCAGAGGAGGCTTGTAATAAGCAGACAATTTCAATATGCACCTAAAACTAAGAGCTGTAGAATGTGAGCATATATTCTTCTTCGTGGTCTCTGTGAATGCACACTAATGAATCAGTCTGCACCTGTGCAGAGTTCTCTGTGCAGAGAGCTCAAACACGCGTTCACCAGGACCTGCCCCCCCCAACACACGTGGTCCGTCCATCCTGGCAATTGCGTCAGTTCCTTTTTGCCGCTGCTGAGGTCTCATCTCTTGACGAGCTCTCCGTTCTTAGTTCTTTTCTCTAGAGAAATAAAGGACAAAACAAATTTATTCTATAGAAGAATAGATTTGAATACATCAGATTTGTAAGATACATGATCCCATTTTTATTTGTAGAGACTTGGTCCCATTTTTTTCCTACCGCTCCCCCACCCCTTTCTTCTTTTCCCACCCTTTATGGCCCCCCCCGCAGGACCGTTTAAGAGGTGCATTTCTTGCCCTAACAAACAGCCTCTCACGGACGGCCAAGATACATAGCCATGGTTCCCCATACTTCAGTCGATGGCGTCTGATGCCGTTCGTCTCCCTCTCATACCCTGCCTTCTCACTCAACACCAGGGACAGACTTACCATCCCGACCTCCAATCACTCCACCTTACAGCCTGGAGGATCTACCCTCCCTAAACACTCTTCTGGCTCATGCGAGGAAACCTTCCACTCAACAGCTATATGAGTATAAATGGTCTGCATTCGTTAAATTTGCACATTAGAAGAACCTTCCTATGAACCCAGCTACTCTTTCTGCAATACTGGCTTTCCTTTCTCACCTTTTTGACTGCCACCTTTCATTATCTACACTTAAGGTTTACCTATCAGCAATTGTAGCACACCAACCAAGGGACTCTGATGCTGCCTCGTTATTCAAACATCGACCTTAAAACAATTTCTACGAGGTGTGGCTAACTTGCAACCGACCAGGCATGTTCCACTGCCACAATGGTCTTTGCATACCGTTCTCCAACGCCTTACACTACCACCCTTTGACTCTCTCGCAACCTCATCTGAACGGCTTCTCTATTCTTGGTAACTATCACATCGGGACGTAGAGCATCTGAATTTGCAGTTCTTCAAGTGGATCCCCCATTCTTGCAATTTCACCCAGACAAAGTCACACTCAACCCCGATATTTCCTTCCTGCCTAAAGTTGTTTCTGATTTCCATGTCCGTCAGCCTCTTACCTACCTTCTTCCTGCAGCCATCGACAGATCTTGAACGATCCCTCCATCTCTTGGATGTCATGGGAGCACTAGCATTCTATGTGAAAAGAACAGCATCTTTCTGCAAGACTAAGAGACTGTTTGTTTCCACACATTTGCCACATAGGGGAACTCAAATCTCCCCCCAAACTATCTCGCATTGGATTGTCCATACCATACATCTTGCTTACCAAAAAAAAATGCTACCTTCTGACATTAAGGCCCACTCCACCAGAGCAGTGACTACTTCTACTGCCTTTCTCAAGGATGTACCTGTTTCTGACATATGCAAGGCTGTTACTTGGTCCACTCCGTCAACTGTTGCATCCCACTATCGATTGGATATGCAGGCCAAGTTAGTTGCTGCCTTTGGATGAGCAGTTTTATCTTCTGTTCTTCCATGAGGTCCCTCCTCCTGTAAAGAAAGCTTGTTAATCACCCATTAGTGTGCATTCGCAGAGAGCATGAAGAAGAAAGAGAGTTTACTTACCTGTAACTCTGGTTCTTCGAGTGGTCATCTGTGAATTCATACCTTCCACCCGTCCTCTCCTCTGTCCGTCACATCTGTTTATTTTATACAGCAGCAGGCTGTTTGGAAACTGAGGCAATCGCCAGGACAGGCGGACCACGTGTGTTAGGGGGGCGGTCCTGGTGAACGCGTGCTTGAGCTCTAGAATATTCTGGAGATCTCTGCGCAGGCACAGATTAATACATTAGTGTGAATTCACAGATGAACACTCGAAGAACTAGAGTTACAGGTAAGTAACCTCTCTTTTGTGCTTTCTGCTCCACATATTGTGTGTGTCTAGTGTAGAAAATTGAAGTGAAATTTTTAATATCCCAAGATAGCCTTTAAAGCTAATTGACTCATCCATTTTTAAAATCACCCACCTCAATGTCTTTCGCTTATCTATCTGTACACACACCCTGTCATTTTCTTTTTCTCTCATTTCTTTCTCACCATGCTGCTGCCTTCCCTCTGGATGTTATATGATTTTGTCATCATCTTCATCACAATCATCATCCATCATGGCTGTAATTCATTATCCTGACTTAGAATGGAGGGCATGTCGGAGAGGTATTACACTCACATTTAATCTCTGGAAAGCGGTGGAGTGGGCTGAGGAAGGACTGACTGTGATAGAGCTCTAAGTGTATTCACTAGAAAAATCTGTAACGGAACCAACGCGTTTCTGTGCCCATGTTCAAATCCCCACTTAGCTATGAAGCTTGATGGACCAATTGCAGCCTCTTAGTCTCACAGAGTTGCTGTATAAATAGGGTGGAGAGGAGGATAAAATGGGTGAATGGCAAGAGAACCAGGCATGTAACCATGAACTCCTTTGGGCTGCCAAAGTAATAAGTGTTTCTGGAACTGGGTATGGATATGTTAAAAGGACAGAAGACATGTACTGATGAGGTCCATCTCTTAGGTTGCACATGATGTCAGTGCCTTGCAGATGTGTACAAGTCTGTCTGCAATTGTACTTGTCTCGAATACGTATATAATAGAGCCAGGGGTTCAGTATTGCCATGTTATGTGGTGTGGCATCTGTCCAGATTAGGGGTAGCTTGGGCAAAGCAGACGTAAAGCAAAGTAGCATTGCACATTAAACTAACACACGGAGCAGCAAAGGAAGGATAAATATGGGAATATTGCAAGGTTGCATAGTACCTGTGTCCAAAAGATGGCTGTGGGAGCCTGGGAGTACTGGCACAGCATGTGCAAGCATTGCAGGGTCTGTCTACCAGTGTTTGTCCTGAGTAATGGCCATCTTGATGGGCTTCGTTGCCTCCATCTCAGATGAGGAGCCTTTGCTTCATCTTCCTTGTTGTTGCCACGTTTCTTGGCTGTTTCCTCCCTTTCCCCCAGCTGATATTTTCTACGGGCTGATACAAGAGAGAGAGGACAGTGACATAGTTGCTTAGCAACTGCTCTACACTATTCCTCTTAATTCTTCCTGGACCAGAGAGACACCTAAGCTGGGATGGAGCAGACAGTCATGTCCTTGGGGAACGTTGCACCTGTCTTATCTAACAATAGGCTGGTTGCTCTGCACTGTAGGTCAGATGCTGGAGGTGTATGTCTCGTTTGTGGAAATAATTTCTGGAAACACACACACATGTGCATGTGTGCATGCTTGCATGCTGACACATATGTTATCTCAACCCCTCCATTTACATCTCCAGAAATGAAATGTGTGTGTGTGTGTGAGTGAGTGAGTGACATACACACATATGTGCGTGTGTGCATGCTTGCATGCTGACAACCCCCCCATTTACATCTCCAGAAATGAAATGAATTTGTGTGTGTGTGTGTGTGTGTGTGTAAATGTGAATGGAATGGAATGGAATAGTTGGGATGACATACATATTTACAATAATAAGTATATTTGGGGCTGGGAACATCTGACCTTCCGGATAATTGTTCAACTGCAACTCCCTTATTATTGACAAATGCTGGTGATGGAAATTAGAGTTTGAAAACTACTTGTGGGGAACTCATTCCTGAGTTACGCAGAGCCACTGTGTAGGGAGGCAGTGTACCTTGAAGCATCAAAGGCTTTGGACAAATAAGAGGAGATGGCCAATGGCTTTATTATTGAGGTTCTGCAGGCTGCTGGCCACTGCTGGAAATTGATTACTGGACTAGATGTTCTCTGATTGAATGCAGCAGAGCAGCTGGGTGGGTTTAGCATCTGTGTAGCTACCATGTTGTGTGGACATACGTGCCTGGTTTATGGAGTTCTTTGCCACAGACATGCTGCTGACTGGGTTCCTGTCTCCTCAGAGCTCAGAGGACAGTTCCCGCATCTCCATCACCTTCTTCCGCCTCTTCCGTGTCATGCGCCTGGTCAAGCTGCTCAGCAAAGGGGAGGGTATCCGCACCCTGCTCTGGACCTTCATCAAATCCTTCCAGGTCAGCTATTTTCTTTAGGAGGGGCAAAGAACAACCACTCTCTCTCTCTCTCTCTCTCTCTCTCCTTTTCTTTTCTTTTTTCTTTTTGGTCACTTCTGAAATCCCCAAGAGAGCATGGTCAACAGCTGGGAAATTCAGGGTGGGGAGGATCTTAATAAGAGTAAAAAAAGAAAAATGTTTTCAAAATTTGGCATATTTATGGAAGTGCTGAATGTGTGTGCTGTTAGAAGCAGCTTTTGGTAGGACATGCTGGTACTGGGAGAAACCAGGAGCATGTGTGCCTGAGCGCAGGATGAGATGATTCATTCCTTCACATTCACTGTGTTTTATTACTCTACCTCCAGGCTTTGCCATATGTCGCCCTTCTCATTGCCATGATTTTTTTCATCTACGCAGTCATTGGCATGCAGGTAAGCAGAGAACATCCCCCCCATCCTGGCACTTGCAAGAAGCAAATTAACACATGCATGTTTTCTGAGTGACTTGTCAGTTCATCACAGCGGTGAGTGGGCTTGCTAGAATGGTGTACCCTTAGAGTAAAAGGCCCTGGATGTAGAGTGTGCGCTTGTGCTAAAAAAAACCAGCACAATGAACAGATTTGCTTGTGTGCAAGTGATACGAGTAGGGAAAAGGTCCTACATCGGTCTCTGTGCTCTTCCACCTGAGAACCAGACAGGTTTCTGTAATGATGCGGGGGGGGGGCATGATGCCTGTGAGAATCATCAGGGAGCTTTCAGTTATTGCCATACACGGGCAGGGCTTGGATCAAAAAACCAGGAGGCAGACCATGACATCTGGATGGACAGTGCTGGAAACATCACTGTGCTTCCTGCTGGGTGTTCTCGCAGTATGGCGCGGTGGTTCTCATTATCTGTGAGAGAAGGACTCGGGGGTAGGCCCAATTGTTTCCGGTTTGCCTCAGAAACCTTCTGCATCTCCAATCTATTCACGGTCCCTTAGTCTGGCCCTGAAGGTGGTTTCCTGCCTTTCAGACCTTTGGCAAAGTGGCCATGCAGGACGGGACGCCGATCAATCGCAACAACAACTTCCAGACCTTCCCACAGGCTGTGCTGCTGCTTTTCAGGTATCTCTTTCTAATTCCAGCTCCAACTCCCACCACCCCGACTCCTTCTGTGCCTTCTTCCGTCTTGGCATAAAACAGCACATACCGTACACACTTTCCACTTCTCCAGCCTCTGTATAGTGAGAGCCTTGAAGCTGGGAGCCCCTTATTATCCAGGGCCTATTTTCCTTTCTGAAGCCTTACTTCAGCCTCAAATGATAAATCGCAAATGTGAGCAAGCGGAAGGATCATTATTTCGGGATTGGAAGGAGAGAGGGAATTAGGTACAAAACCCAGTGGGTGCTGGATTAAGTGGAGCTTTGGGCTGATCAAAAAGGGCTCTTATGTTCTCAACTGTTACATTCTTTATTGTGGCTACCTATTGCTTGATGCTTCATAATAATGATAGCAATCTTGTCCACAGAAGTTAAGCAGCCAGCCAGCCAGCCAGTCTCTCTCTCTCTCTCTCTCTCTCTCTCTCTCTCTCTCTCTCTCTCTCTCTCTCACACACACACACACACACACACACTCAATTTTTATAGATACTCCTGAGGAACAAAATCACATGTGGAGACCTAACAGGCCCCTTCCTTCTTCCTTCCATCTCCCTCTTATTTTAAAGGGCAAATAACTCCTTTTCCAAACATGCTTGATCTGTGGAACCACAGAGTTACTCAGATTTTTATAGATACTCCTGAGGAAAAAAATCACATGTGGAGACCTAACAGGCCCCTTCTCTGTTTTTCCACACGACACCTTGGCCAAACCGCAAGACGGCCCCTTGTGTTGGCTCCCTCCCTCTCCCCCATTGGTGCCCCATCCCAAGTTCCATCTGGTTGCCTTCAGGGTGAATCTGTGTCACTGCCAGTATCAAAGACCCTCTGCATGCCAGTCCCTGGGGCAGGCCAGAAGGAGGGTGCCACTGCTCTCATGCCATGCTTGTGCCCTCCCCCTTAGGCATCTTGTTGGACATGGTGGGAACAAAACATGGAACCAGCATGGCTTATCTTATGTGTTGTTGCTGTTTTTCCCGGTTCTCTCATATGCCATCTCTCCAGGTGTGCAACAGGGGAGGCCTGGCAGGAGATCATGCTGGCCAGCTTGCCTGGCAAACGCTGTGACCCGGAGTCTGATTATGAGCCTGGGGAAGAGTTCACGTGTGGGAGCAACTTTGCCATTGTCTATTTCATCAGCTTCTTCATGCTCTGCGCCTTTCTGGTGAGAACCTTGCCGCTGTGAAGCCAGTGCCTCCCTCTGGCCTCAGCAAGATCCCTGGCCCTGTTCTGCAGGGCTACTTCCCAAATTATCCCAGTTACCATGTGGAAACATGTATCCCTTCTCTAGCCCTGTGGGCTTTTGAGGAGCCCTGTTCTCTAAAGACCAAAGCTGGTATTACACAAACAACGGGTGAAGGAGTTGTTTGTGTAAAAGCTGCCTCAGAAGCTGGGGTTGGAGAAGGAGAACCTGAGGAACATTTTTTAAATTCCTGCTCTGTGCCCACGCAAAATTTTCCTCTGTTCTTTCTCATTTGTCCTTGCTCACAGAACATCGTCAGATCTTCCTGCGGTGTCTCTGCTTCGGCAACAAAACAGAGGATCAAGTAGCAACCATCGTAGTGACATGTTTTCAAGTTTATTGCTTTTGGTATCCCTCCTGTACCAGCAGAAAAGTTTGTGCATGGGTATTCCCATGTCCCAGGCTTAGTGGTCGAAATGAGGAGCATTGATGCACATAATTATCCTCTGTTGTGCAGAACCTCCCTTCCCAACTCCAGATATGTGCAGAACGATAAGTGTTGAAAGGCAGTGGGTGGCATCTATGTTCTTAAGGCATCTTTTCTGCATTGTTTGTTTGGACCATTCCAAGGCTAAGCCAAAGCACTGAGAATAGTTCCAGTAAGAAAAGGTTGATGAGTCGTGATGTATATGAAGCCTTGTGACATCCACACTTTCAATTGGGGCTGATGTATAGGAATTACACCCTTTAAGAGCTTGTGAAAGCTCAGATTTTGGTCTACAACTTCCAGAATCAGTCAGCCAGGGTAGCTGGTGGCCATCCTGGCTGGAGGATTCTGGTAATTTCAATCCACATGCAAAAAAAGAACTTTTCCAAGCTCTGTACTCTCAAGTGCGGCTTCCTTTTAAATAAATATTCATAGGATCGAACTATGTAATTCTATTTTCTTATTCTCCCTGCTTATAATAGGTTTTTTAAGAGCATCAACTCACTTCCCTGTCTCCCTTCTCCTAGATCATTAACCTCTTTGTTGCTGTCATCATGGATAATTTCGACTATCTGACTCGGGATTGGTCCATTCTGGGTCCCCACCATCTGGATGAGTTCAAGAGGATCTGGTCAGAGTATGATCCAGCTGCAAAGTAAGAAGGGGACACCTCTTTGTCCTATAATGCAATAACTGGCACAAGGAACTGTATTGTATGTCTGGATCTTCTAGCAGTCCCAGAACTTTTCAGCCTGCCCTCCTTCAGCTAAACTGTAGATTGTCCTGAAATTCCATCTCCTACCACTAGAGGCAATCATTAATGTTTTGCCATTTCAGTTTATACCACTAGAGGCAGTAAAGATTGTGTTCAGGGGTGAAATTTGAAGAGGGGAAAGTGATGGTTGTGCTTCTCCAGGTTCTTTATAAGCAATCGTTAACAAGTGTCATTTCTGGATAATGACATACCTGTCCTTGTCTGCTTCCCTTACTAGAACTGCAAGTGGCGGTACTTGTCTGGTAACCCCCTACAAATGACTTGAAGTGCTGAAATAAAATGATGGAAATTTCCTTTTATGGGTTTTAAAATGTGCTAATTTGTTTACTGAAATCTGCACCACTGTTTTTACAAATGATTGGGTTAAACAACATATATTCAGAATGGTTTGTGCTGGTGTCATACTCTCTGGATGCTTGTGTTTATAAAAAGGTTTAAAATTTCATGTTTATGCAATCTGCCATATAATAACTGTTCCTGAATCAGCCTGTGCCTGAGATAAACAAGCAGACATTTTGCTCCTGTTGTTGTTTCAGGGGTCGAATCAAGCACCTCGACGTGGTGACCCTGCTACGCCGTATACAGCCACCTTTGGGCTTTGGGAAACTCTGCCCCCACCGAGTAGCCTGCAAGGTAATTCCTAGAAGCCATGTGGATGTGCCTCTTGGCTTCTGTCTTGCTGGGAGAATAAAAACTGGAGGTAGAATTCGACCATCAGGTTCTGGGCCTTTATCCCTGGTTCTTTCTGTGGCTCAGGGAGGCTGGGGAAAGGCAAGAAGACAAGGGTTCTGGATTTCACACCATGTGGGAGGCCGTGCAGTAGCAGCCTAAGAATAAAAATAAAAATAAAATATTTCAATTTCTGGATGTAATGCACTTTGTTTCTGCAGCGACTAGTGGCTATGAATATGCCCCTGAACTCAGATGGAACAGTCACTTTCAATGCTACCCTCTTTGCCTTGGTGCGAACATCTCTCAAGATCAAGACAGAAGGTGAGGTGTAAAGTGATTCTTATGGCAGGTGTCCTCTGTGTACAAAGTTATTACTTCCTGATGAGGAGCAGCATTTTATGCAAGCTGAAAGTAAACAGCCAGAATTCTGCTGCTTACCTACACCGACGTTAGTGCAACGGTATAAATCACACTAGTGAATTGTCAGCTAATTAAGAGTTTTCTGTATTCCTCGTCATGCACTAAGTAATGCTATTGATGCGTGACAAGGAATATGTGCAGTTACTCCTTTTCACTAACAGCAATTTGTCATTGTGAATCATGCCACATTGGACTCAGAGACAGCATAAGTGATAAGATTGTGGCTATTGTTCTCTCTAGGTGCCATTACTCAGTTTTTTTAAGAAATCTGTCTGCCCAGCTTTCAGCAGCAGCTGCTCTTTTCTTCTCCTGCAAAATGTTACGTGTATCTAATGATCATATGGGAAATGAATTGACAGAGTAATCTTTCACAAAGCTGGTGAACACCACATTGTTTTGAAAAACAAAGCTGAGTGGTGAGCAACGTCTACCCTGTGGAGCTGGCACACATCCTAAGAACGTTAGTGAGGGGTGGCTTGCTTCCCTCTTTTCTTTCTGGATTTTTACAGGATCTGTGCTGGGAGGGAAGGCTTGCAGAGATCTGTGCTAGCCAGAAATGATAGCGAACTGTTCAGTCGAATTGAAATGTGCCAATATGTCATCACAGATTCCAGGGTTGAGCCCTTGCCTTAAAAATAAGATCTCACCCCTATTCTTTTTACTCCCCCAGAAAAGCGTCATTTCCACCACCATCACATCTCGGGTAGTAATAAGCCATGATGTTTGTTGCCCGGTCCAGGAGTCCTTCTTGGCTTTCTCTCCAATGCTAGATTATTATTGGTGGTGCAACTGGAAGAAATGCTGGAGGGCACACCACCCCCATAGCTAGAGACCTGAGCTCCTGCCCCACAGCAGTATCTATGTTGGTTTCGCTTTAATTTAACTATGAGAACTGCAGTTGCATTGCTTAACAAAGCAAAAATGTGTAGAGGCAGCTTATTATGTTGAAGGAGAAGGGCCAAACATCTACCCTATGTGTAAGGAATTGGGGGTTGCTGTTTATTGCACTTTGTTTATTCTTTCAGTAGCTGGCATGCCTCCTTGACTTGGAACTCCAGCCACTCATCCCTGCCCCTTAGTTTTAAAGACACTCCCCATGTGGTGAGACTGCTGATCACAACAGCTTCTTAATCCAGAAGTCTGGAAAGTGGTTGGGAAGTCTCATTGTGCCTCACTCTTACAGGAGACCTGGATGTCGCCAATAAGGAGCTTCGTGCTGTGATCAAAAAGATCTGGAAGCGGACAAAGCCCAAACTGTTGGACGAGGTGATACCCCCACCAGAAGGTCAGTGCGTCTTATTCCTAGCAACAGATCCATCCCTATATCCTCCTTCCACCAATATGTCTTCGGGAAGAATTTGGGAAAGTGTGATTAGAGGCCATGTTGGTCCAGTGAGACATTTCACCATCCAAGGACCTTTGGGCAGCTGCCAGACTTGGCAGATGCCAATGTCTGTAAAATTTGTCTTACAACAATTAAGCAATACCATAATAAAATGAGGAAAAACTGTGAATGCTCTTGGTACAAAAAGCAGGTCATGCATAGAACTCCAAAGAGCAGAACCCTTTAATTCAGTCATACTGGAAGAAAAGTAGAGACACCTACAGCACTTTCTAGATCTATAATAAAAGAACTGCAGAGCTGGAAGGGATCCTATGGATCATTGAGCCCAGCCCCTGTCAAGGAGGCACAGCGGGGAATCAAACTCCCAACTAGATCCCTAAATCATTGAGCTATCCAGCAGTGCAGATGATTACCTTCCTTAGTTCGAGCTTTCAGATGCTGCAGGAGCCTTTATTGTTTGGAAACCAACCGGCCTGTTTTAAGGGGCTTTATGGATATATACGGATGCTTTGAAAAACAGTTCCTAATAAGCCTGCACTGAACCCTTCCTTTGGCAGAGGAGGAGGTCACTGTGGGAAAGTTTTATGCCACGTTCCTGATCCAGGATTATTTCCGTAAATTCCGCAAGCGGAAGGAAAAGGGGATGCTGGGACCAGACGGCTCCCCGAGCAACTCTACTGCTCTGCAGGTGAGTCTCCCTGTTTTTTGTTAGGAGCCTTCTCATTTCCTGGCCTAATGAACAAGGAAGGGCCTTGAGGATATTGAGCTGGCCTGATCCTGCTGTCCTGGTGCCTCTCTCCCATTCAGGCTGGGTTGAAAAGTTTGCAAGATTTGGGGCCTGAGATCCGTCGGGCAATGTCCTGCGATCTGGAAGAGGAGGAGGAGGAGGAGGAGGAGAACGGGGAGACTTTGTGTGAAGAGGAGACAGTGACCTATAAGGTGAGCCTTTGACATGGTTCACTATGAGAGGATGAGCCTGCCTGCGCACTGTGTACCAGTTTGGACTTTAGGTGTGGGTGGGTGAAAGGGCTGAGCACTGCACCATATGAAAGCATCCCTTTCACATTCCCTTCATATGCTGGTTTTCTATCTGAAAGCAGTACTTTGCTGTGGAGGAGCAGCTAGTCATGTTTTCTCTCCAATACAAATTTACCATTTCAGTGAGAACTAAGGGCTTATCTAAATAGGGCCACTTAAGGTCAGATCTGGTATACCATTTAGTGTGATCCTTGTATTCAAAGAGTATATGCACCTCAAATGACCCTGTTTTACAAAAGCAAAAGGACAAGAAAAAACATCTGCCCTTGCCCCCTCCTGCTTCCGGGATTTCATTTTTCAAAAAATAAATCTCTAATTTTTAATCCTCCCTCTGTTCTGTGGAGGAGCACAGGAAGGAAGTTTCCAATTTCCCAATTTAATTTCCTAATTTCCCCATATCATTAAGTGGTTAAGATGTCTGTTTAATCCACTAATGATATGAGGATATTAAAACCAGCTGGGAAATTAAAGCAAGAAGTTAGCTTTGGTTTGATCCCAGTAATTGCATGTGCTGGAAACAAATCAAACCAGAGCAATCCTACCCACAACAAAAAAGTAATAGCCCTGACAGAGACCCAGAAAGGTGTGGGTAGGAAAAGTCTGGAGTTGGATTGGTTTATTCCATCAATTATGTCATCTGATCACTGGAAAAAGGAGTGAACCAGCCCCTTTCTGCAGTGGAACAAGCAGCAGGACAAATGTCAGTCTAGGCACACTCTGTCATCATTTTGTCCTCTTCTCATTGTGGAAGGGGTATTGATTAGCATGGATTAGGACCACAGGGCCAATAACATTGCCTATGGAGTCCTCTGGAGTTTGAAGGGATGGGTTTTGTTTCACGCTCATTACCAAATCTCAGATTTGGAAAAATGGCTTCTTCTTGGGGAGAAGGAAGAATACATTATCCTATACAGAGTTGTGCACATTTGAGGTTTTGAACTACAACCTTCAGAATTCCCCCAGGCAGCATAGGCTGGCCATCTTCCTCTGCTATATGGTTTAGCTCACTTTCCAGTTTGTTTTTAACCAGTCAAGGCCCTTGACAGGGCACCCACTGAGGTGGGGTAACCCTCAGAGGCCAGGAGACAAGCCCCCGAACTGTGTGCATCACATTCTGCTTGCTGCCCCTTCAGCTCTGATGAGATTTCCTATTGTTTCCTAAATGACTGTGATTTTCCTCCATATAGCTGAAGATCAGATCTGAAAAGAAGGCACAGGATAATTGGTCAAATGCTTATTATTTTCAAAAGCAATGCTACAGTTCCTCATTTTCCCTCTCCCCCCCCCCTCGCTCCACCCCAGAAGGCTTAGTACTAACTGCTCACAAGGCAGGATTCCATTAGCCAGTTCTCACTCCCTTTCCATGCCTGCTGTTCCTTTTTCCTGATCAGAAACGGCTGCCATTGAATTTCTGGGACAGCAGATGAGTGTACGAGATGTTGCTTCTCACTGTGTAGGGGAAGAGACTAGGAGGTGGTGAAGTATTTGGGGAGATGGAGAAAAATTTAACCTGTAAAAGCACTGACTTCAAAAGGTGTCAAAGCCAGGTGTTTGTGCAAATTACGAGGAGTGGGAAATGCTCGCACCACCACTTCCCCTCAGAAGAATTGCTTGTTCAAATTATAACTTCCTTTGTTGTTGTTGTTGTTGTTGTTGCACAAGGAGTGGGAAATGCTGGCACCACAACCTCTCCTCAGAAGAATTGCTTGTTCAAATTGTTGTTGTTGTTGTTGTTTGCTGCTCTAATTCAAGAGTGGGTGGGGCAGCTAGAAGAAATCCTGGCTCTCATTGGCCTAATTCAAGAGTGGGTGGGGTAGCTAGAAGAAATCCTGGCTCTCATTGGCTGAGCTGCTGTGACTTAACGGAGAGGCAGCACCAGTGGCAGAGAGCCAGAGAAAAGAGGGGCAGAAGGAGCAAGGGAGGAAGGAGGGCATGCGGAAGCAGGGAAAAGGGGGCTAAGAATTACACACGGCCGACGTTTCTTGTTGTAAATTGAAAATTGCCAGTTTTCATAGTCGTCTCCAGGTGCTCAAGAACCAGGCTTGCCCCTGTCCCTCCATTTTTTTGCCTTGTCATCTCTGGAGTGAATCACGGCCTGTATACTTTGCATCGGAAATCGGAGGAAAACCAGTCTGATCTAGTATCAGAAATGTCAGTGAGGTCTGCTCCTGTGGGAGTGATCCAGGCAGAGGCATGCTCAATTTGTATGGAAGTCGAAAGTTAAAAAAAATCAGCAGGAGAAGGCTCAGAAGGAAAGGGAAACTGTCGGAAGAGGAATCTGAGGCAGAAAGAAGAGGTTTAGATTGATGAGTGGGGAAGTGTGGCCTTTCGCGTGGGTGTCGGCCTGCCCAATGGTCTGATGAGTGGCTCCCAAGACAGGTGTGCTTATTTCCTTCCCGCAGAGCACGGAGGCCTTGTACGGCAGTGCCCCACCAGACCATCATGTCTCGACTGCTGGAGCTTCACCAGACCAGGACGGCAAGGCTGTGGCGAATGGCCTTGTGAGCTCCCGGCAGCCCTCGAGTGCCAGCCTCTCCCATATGACGAATGGGCCAACCCCTTACGAGGAGAACGGCGGTGATCAAGACGAACCCGCCGAACTTCCCAACATTGCCACCCGACGCAGGATGAGCAGGTGCTGGGCCGAACGAGCTTCTCGCTTTGGAAAAGAAGGACGGGGTTGGGGGTCTGAAGGGTGTGTGGTCGCAGGGCCCCGGAGGGGGGCAGTTGAGGTTCCTGATATCCTGATCTTTTCCACCCAGACGGAGCTCTGACGGCAGCTGCATCCCACCTACGGTGAAAGAAGAAGCCACACACCCCGATGATTATGGGGAGGACACCTCGGTTGAGCAGGGATACTACAGCCGGGAGGAGGACTCGGAGAGCCTAGCCTCTCGGGACAGGTGAGAAGGACGTGCCGCAGGCAAAGTGGGACACCTTTTGATCACACCTGTGGCCTTATGGTCTCTCCAAAACTAGTGAAGGTAGAATCTTCTTGATGGATGTTAATCCATTAACAGACTGTGATTTGATGCCCCAAAGACTGTGGATGCTGGAAGTGCTATGCACACCTGCTGCTGCCACACAGGTTGTGGTTAGGAGGGGAGCTTTCTTTGCTGATCTATGTGGTTGCTGTGTTTCTGTCCTCCCCAGGCAACCCAGTCTGCACCACCCTCAGCCTCGCCGCCGCCGCTGGGACACAGGATACGGGGGTTCTTTGCCCCTCCCTTCCCGGCGTGTCAACAATGGGCTCATCAATGGACCGTTGGAGGGCAGGCAAACCAAGCGCAGGCGCCTCTTGCCTCCCACCCCTACAGGTGAGGATGGGCAAAGATCCCCGGGGAGCTGAGCATCTCAGAGGCAAGGTTTATATTAGAGGGAGCCTGTTACTCAAAAGCCAAATCTGTCCGTGTTCCAGATACATGTTTTTGACATATACCTGGAACATGATGCAGCAATCATATGCAAATGATGCCTTTGCCCGCCTACCGGTGACCAATCATGAAACAAAGCAAACTTATTTGAACGCTGTAGGAAGTGTGAAAACCTCATCCTGTGACAATTGGATGTAATCAGCACTTAGGGAATTCCTTCTTCTAATGATGGGGCAAAACATAGTTTGGCCCTCAGATGAAGTACTATATGGAGGTTGGCTAATGTGGGTCTTGAGGCTAAAACCACCATATACAAGGCACAGAAAAAAGTGGCAACCCATTTGTAGGGGACTGTATCACTTCAAGCTGCATCTGGTGCCATTCGGCATCAACAAAGGATCAAGTCTCATCCCACACCAGAAATAGTTGCTATGCCAGGACTAGTCTTCCTTAAAGCAACCTTCTGCCCATCCAGGAATTGCTTCACCACCACCCCCAAAAGGGGGTAGCCTTGCTGCTGGACCAAAACAGTCCAGCCGGTGCATAGATCAGGATCAGACTGGGGCTCTAGTGTCTGTACATTGTGTGATTGCCAGGACGTAGCTTCTTCCGGACTGTGCCACAAGCAGTCCAAACTGCAAGGTATTTGTCCATCTGGTTCCATCCATGCTTAAAAGTTCCTGCATGAGAGGCTAAAAAATAAACATGACTCCTTGTAAATAAATTAAAGCAAAACAAAACAACTAGTGTGTCCAGAAGAAGAATTCAACCTAGCTGTCTCTCCAAATATTCTAATCCATGCATAAGTAATTCTTTTCTGAACAGGAGCCATGAAACATTTGATGCCTTCTCTTCTACACCATCTAATATGGTATGGAAAGAGGCAGGCAGCAGAAAAAAAGCAGAAGTGCTCTTTCACACAGCACACGGTTGTATTGTACACAACTGTGTGCAAGGAACTCCATGTGCTGATCTGTGAAATGGATGGGTGTGGATGGGATGGGCTGAAGATTGCTGGGGCAATTAAATTTAGAAGCAGGATCTCAGTTCTAATCATTTTGGAGATACACCAAATTGTTGGGAAGTGGGCGGCCACTGGCCACTAGCAAGCAATGACCTCTGATGCCTTTTCTGACATTTTCTTCCCTTGGCAGGCCGCAAACCAGCCTTCAGCATCCAGTGCCTGCAGCGTCAAGGCAGCTGCGACGACATTCCCATCCCGGGGACCTACCACCAAAATGCACCCCCTTGCCGAGCACGTGGGCCGGTAATTTCTCTGCAAGTTGTCTGTGTGAGAGAGTGCATGAATGCAGATGCCCACTGGTGTACTCCTTCTAAAGGAGGAGTGTCGGGGGGGGGCACCGTCTTGAAAACGAAGCCCTTTGTCCTATAAGCTCTTTCCCCATAGACCCCACCTCCGTAAAAGCTTGTTGCTAGAAAGGCACTGTGCAGTCTGAAGGGTTCTCTGCTAAAGGATGGCTTCGTAGGCCTTAAAAATCAGACCAACTGAAAGCAGATTCAGGGCCACATTCTGGATGAAGCTGGTCATACATGGCCTGCAACAGTATGTCCATTTTGGTATGCAAGTTGTAGTCAAAGCACAGAACACTCCATAGCTGCCCTTTCTTGTTCAGCACCCCGTTTTCTCTTCTGACATTTCATTAGAACCTCTATATGACTCTTTTTGTCATTGTGACAAAGAGAAGCATATAATTGTGTACAATCATTTCAAAGCCAGCAAGTAGCAGAAGGGAGCAAAACATCCAGTGCTGAGTTACAATTAGGTTTGTACTTGTTTATGAGTAACAGACATGTTTCTAAGTGAAACATCCTCTTGACAGCTGAGGCTTCTGAGAAACTGAGCCCTAGATATGTAGCAGATTCATGCTACCTTGGGATTTTAGCAACAGATTTTACTTCTGTTTTATGGCCAGATCAGGCAACCTATTGCTTTATTATTTGGCTCTACCGTGTGGCTGTCTATCTTACACCATTTTGGTAATACACAGCTGCTGTGTGGCTCTCATTCAACTGATGAGGCACCATAGACTTATTGCACAACTGTTGTGCTGCACTCTTGAGTATTCCTGTGAGTAAACTTCCTTCAGCTGCCTCAGACCCATCTCTAGCCCCAAACTGTCCACTCAGACTGGGAGAGGCCCTCCAAGGTTGAGACAACATTCTCAGCCATGTGCCCAGAGATCCTTTGACCGCAAAGACCAGGGGTTGGCCCTTCTTCCCCCCCACCCCAATTTGCATGCAAAGTATGAGCTCTGCTGTCAGAGTGAGATTTTGTTGCTCAAAGGTTCGTGGAATGAGCGGTTGCTTTCCCTCAAGGGAATGTGAGCAGAGTTAGCACATCCATGTGATTGTATGTATCTGCAATGGAGATAGGGAACCAGTGGCTGTCTAGAGATTTGCCTTCAGGTCCCATTGGCCCTATGCAGTGTTACCAGTCATCATGGGTGATAGGCATTGTAGTCCAGCAACATCTGGAAGGCCACTGTTTACCACCACCCCCCTGGACCCTCTCACATGTGTACCCAATCCTCCCTTTCGAGAAGAAGTTGAGGGCAATGTGACAGAGTCTCTCCTACTTTTATCCCCACAGAAGCCCTCCAGCAGGTTAGATTAGGCTGGGAAATGGGAACTTGCTCTGGCTCAACATATCCCACAGGCTTCCCAGCAATGTGGGAATGGGATGGGACTTCGAGCTTGTCTGGTCAATGCTGTAGCCATCCTGCCATACTAGAACAACCCTGTTTATTGACATCATACTGTTATGTTAATAGGATAATACATACTGGATATTCTAAGTTAACGCTAGATAGTGATGAAGCTGGGTTTGTGGTATGAAGTAATTCCAAAGCACCAGAGTGTGGTCTGTGGTGATTTCATGGTCATGTGTTGCCATCATCCTGATAGCTCCAGCTCTGTGTATGTAAGCTGAAGAGTCTACGGTGTGGATGTGTCCAGTCTGGTTGTGGCTGTGGCTGCGGCTGCTCCATCCATCTCTTTCTCCCCTTCTCGTTCCTCTGTACAGGGCTATGGCAGCTACGACTCGTGGCACAGTGGTAGCCGGTCCTCAACAGCTTCTTCGCATTCGTGGGCCACCCCACCGAAACGGGGCCGGCTGCTATATGCTCCACTCATCCTGGTGGAAGAGGCTGGCTTGCCTGGGCACAGCTGGGAGAAGAACAGCAGCAGCCTTCCACCTATGTCACGGGCACGGTGGTATTTGAATGAGCCGGAGGTGCCCTACCACACCTACGGCCACCTCCACGTGCCCGGCCCACTCAAGCACAGCTACAATGATAAGCGTGGCAGTGCGGACAGCCTAGTGGAAGCGGTGAGTAGAGGACAAGGGGGTTTCCTTGGGAGCTCTTTGAGGCCAAGTGCTCACCTTCTCTTCATCCCTGCTATGAGATTGAGACCCACAAGCATGTTATGCAGAAATATACTGTGTGAGAGCAAGGGTCACGGAGTGGGGGGGGCAGTGGCATTAGAATAGGCCATCCCAACTTAGAAATTCTGTCCTCTGGTTTTGATAATAGAATTCTTTTCTGAACATCTGATCCCTGGAAAGACATGTGCGTGCTATGCTGGAAATAATGACATGATCTCAACTACACACAAAGAAAAGCTGGATCTTGCAAACAAAACGCTAACCGAGCACATCGCTCGCTGTGAAGATGGGTGCCTGTTTGGTTCTGGATTTTGTAGCTATGACAGAACAGGAAAGAGCCAACGCAGGCACTGAAGCCACGCTTGCAGTGACTGTTTGCAGCTTTGCTTGCCCCCAGCCCCCTGGCAGTTTTCTAAGGCTGCACTGGACACTGTCCATTAGTTTTGGGGGCTATATCCACTACAGTACTGTTAGGGCTAAGGACTGGCAATTATGTTTAACTGAAGTGTGAGTTCCTGAGATTGTGTGATCTTAGATTTTGAAGGGTGGGAAACTGAACAATATCCATTTATAAAAAAACCCAATTCATAGTGCCTTCTCAGCTGCTTAACTGTTCAAATGTCATGACAAACCATAGATTGTGCTATTCCTGAACATGGTTTGAACTTCCGTACATAGAACAAGCTGACCATAGTTTGGAGCTGCTGTTCTGACTTTGCTTTTCATACCTTAGATTTGAATTCATCTGTTTATTCCTGTTTTCATAATACAGCAGCTTCTAGAAGCAAGAGTGGTGGCCACCAGAATATTTTGCCTTTCCAAGCATCCTCCCACAACACAATGAGCACAAACTATGATTTGCAAGCCTTCTTTAAAACATGATTTCTGATTCGGATTTGCCAGCAGACTGAAAGCCATGGTCTGTTAATTCAAACATGCTAAACTATTGTTGTTGTTGTTTAGTCATTAAGTCATGTCCAACTCTTCGTGACCCCATGGACCAGAGTGCGCCAGGCCCTCCTGTCTTCCACTGCCTCCCAGAGTTTGGTCAAAGTCATGGTGGTAGCTTCGATGATATTGTCCAACCATCTCATCCTGTGTCGTCCCCTTCTCCTCTTGCCCTCCTACTTTCCCAACATCAAGGTCTTTTCCAAGGAGTCTTCTCTTCTCATGAGATGGCCAAAGTACTGGAGCCTCAGCTTCAGGATCTGCCCTTCCAGTGAGCACTCAGGGTTAATTTGCTTCAGAATTGATAAGTTTGATCTCCTAGCAGTCCAGGGGACTCTCAAGAGTCTCCTCCAGCACCACAATTCAAAAGCATCAATTCTTCGACGGACAGCCTTCTTCATGGTCCAACTCTCACTTCCATACATCACTACTGGAAAAACCATAGCTTTGACTATATGGACCTTTGTCAGCAAGGTGATGTCTCTGCTTTTTAAGATACCATCTAGGTTTGTCATCGCTTTCCTCCCAAGAAGCAGGTGTCTTTTAATTTTGTGGCTGCTGTCTCCATCTGCAGTGATCATGGAGCCCAAGAAAGTAAAATCTGTCACTGCCTCCATATCTCCCCCTTCTATTTGCCAGGAGGTGATGGGACCAGTGGCCATGATCTTAGTTTTTTTTATGTTGAGCTTCAGATATTTCTTCCGGCAATCTTTATTCCAGCTTGGGATTCAATCAATTTCAGCCTTTCGCATGATGTATTCTGCATATAAGTTAAATAAGCTGGGAGACAATATACAGACTTGTCATACTCCTTTCCCAATTTTGAACCAATCATTTGTTCTATATTCAGTTCTAACTGTTGCTTCCTGTCCCACGTATAGATTTCTCAGGAGATAGATAAGGTGGTCAGGCACTCCCATTTCTTTAAGAACTTGCCATAGTTTGCTGTGGTCCACACAGTCAAAGGCTTTTGC